AATACTTCTTTTTTTGATCCTTCTGGGGGCGGGGATCCTGTTTTATATCAGCATTTGTTTTGGTTTTTTGGGCACCCTGAAGTTTATATTTTAATTTTACCCGGATTTGGCTTAATTTCACATATTATTATGAGTGAAAGGGGAAAGAAAGAAACATTTGGATCTTTGGGGATAATTTATGCTATGATTACTATTGGATTTTTAGGATTTATTGTATGAGCTCATCACATGTTTACTATTGGCCTTGATGTTGATACCTGGGCTTATTTTACTTCGGCAACAATGATTATTGCTATTCCTACTGGAATTAAGATTTTTAGTTGAATTTCAACAATCCACGGGATGAAGGTTAATTATAATCCTACTCTTTGGTGGGCAATGGGATTCATTTTTTTATTTTCTACAGGAGGGTTTACTGGAATTATGTTGTCTAATTCTTCTATTGATATTATTTTGCATGATACTTATTATGTGGTGGCTCATTTTCATTATGTGCTTTCAATGGGAGCTGTATTTTCTATTATTGCAGGGTTTATTCATTGGTATCCGTTAATTTCTGGGTTTACTTTAAATTTTATTTGAATGTTCAGTTTGTTTCTATGTTTATTGGGGTTAATCTTACTTTTTTTCCTCAACATTTTCTTGGGCTCAGGGGAATGCCCCGGCGGTATTCGGATTATCCCGATTCTTATTTGATTTGGAATATTGTTTCTTCAATTGGGTCATTAATTTCAGTTTTGAGACTATCTGTTTTGATTTTTATTATTTGGGAGTCTTTATCAAGGAAGCGAAAAATTGTTAATATATTTTTTCTTAGCTCATCGTTAGAGTGGTTTAATTCCCTGCCTCCACTAGCTCATAGGTATAATGAGGTCCCATCTATTTAGGATTTAATGTATTTTAATATGGCAGATTAGTGCATTGGATTTAAAAAGCTCCATTTAAAAAGATTTATTACTTGTCTTTTATTAAAAATTAATACATGGTTAATGTCTCTTCAAGATTCAAATTCTCCCGTTTATGATATGATAATTTTTTTTCATGATACTACAATAGTTGTTTTAGTTTTTATTACTGCATTAATTTTTTTATTATGGTAAGATTTGTTTATAGTATAATATAATAAATTAGTTAATCGTTATCTTTTGGAAAACCAAACAATTGAAATTGTTTGAACTGTAGTTCCTATATTTATTTTAATTTTTATTGCTATTCCTTCAATTAAGATTTTATGTATTGCTGATGAGGTTATAAATAGTAATTTGACAGTTAAGGCTATTGGACATCAATGGTATTGAAGTTATGAGTATTCAGATTTTTTAAATATTGAATTTGATTCTTTTATGATTCCTACTAGTCAACTTGGATTGGATGGATTTCGGCTTTTGGACGTGGATAATCGGTGTATTTTGCCATTTAATTATCCTGTGCGAATTTTAACTACATATATAGATGTGATTCATGCGTGGACTGTTCCTTCTCTCTTTAGGGATTAAAATAGATTCTACTCCCGGGCGCCTAAATCAGGCGCAAATTTGACTTAGGCGCCCGGGGGTGTATTTTGGTCAGTGTTCTGAGATTTATGGTATTAATCATAGATTTATGTCCATTTCTGTTGAGTCTACTAGTATGTATAATTAATTTTAAAAAATGGTTAATTAGTTTTTAATTTAATTTATGTGGTGTGAAATTTATGATGAGATATTATTATGTTTCTTGTATTTAAGTGATTTTAAATTTATGGTTTTATGATCATTAAATGACTGATTCAAAAGTATTGATTTTTTAAATCAAATTATAATATTATGATGGCTATTTTTAACGAAAGGATTAATTTTAGTGTAAAACATTAGATTGTCAATTTAAAAATATTATTTTATTAATTTTTCTTTTATTCCTCAAATAATACCTTTAGTTTGAATTATAATATTGGTATTTTTAATTATTTTGTTATTAGTTGTTATGGCTATTGTTTATTTTTTTTATTTTCTTAATTTTGTTGTTTGTAATTTTTCCGGACGGAAGAAGAAGATTTGATGGTCTTGGCAATGATAGTAAATTTGTTTTCTATTTTTGATCCTTCTACTTCTTTTTATACTTCTTTTAATTGATTAAGAATAATTGTTTTTTTTTATTTTTAATGCCCTATCAATTTTGAGTTGGCCAGTCCCGTTTTGTTTGCTTATGGGATTATTTTATTAAGTTTATATGTATACTGAATTTAAGATTTTAATTCATTATTCTTTTTCAAATTTAATTGTTTTTATTAGTCTTATTATTCTAATTTTTTTAAATAATTTTTTAGTGCTATTTCCTTATATTTTTACTTCTTCTAGGCATATGAGGTTTTGTTTTGCTTTGTCTTTAAGTATCTGAGTTAGGTTAATTTTATATTCTGTTACTAAGGACTGAGTAGGAAAAAAATCTAACAACTTTAAATGGACCTAGCATTGAAACCCTTTATCCGATTGAAACAATTCGAACAGTTTTGAAAAGCAAATTTAATTTCTGATTAAATAAGGAAATAAAAAAAATTTAATTTTTTTTTCTACAAAACTCTGTCAGCTTTTGCGGTATACATGCCATTAGAGACTTCACTGTGGCTTTTGGAACCTTCTTGGTGGCAGACTTTCACTTATTTTTGAAGCACTCTATGTCTTTTGTTTCTGTATTTGTTTCCTTCAGTTTCCTTTTCACTAAAGCCCAGTATCTTTCGATAGGCCGGAGTTCTGGGCAATTTGGTGGGTTAGCCTCTTTTGCCACAAAAGTGACATTGTCTTCATACCACTTGACGGTTGCCTTGCTATAGTGACAGGAGGTGAGGTCAGGCCAGAAGAAAGCAGATATGTCGTGCTTTCTAACAAAAGGCAAAAGTCTCTTCTGGAGACACTCCTTCACATAAATTTCAGTGTTTATTGTGCCTTTTGTTATGAAAGCTTGACTCCTTTCGCCGCAACTGCAAATCGTTTGCCACACGAGGAACTTCTTGGGGAACTTTGACTTTTGTTTTGTTCTAAATTTTTCCTCAACTCCTCCTCGTTCCTTTGCGGTATAAAATTCCTGTCCAGGCAATTGCGAAAATTTAGACAAAACGTATGTTTCATCGTCCATCACACAGCATTTGAATTTTTGAAAAAAGTCCGCTTTCAGCTTTCTAGCTCGGTTCTGGGCTTCCAGGTTCTTGACAGCACTTCTATCAGGTATTGTCTGGACTTTGTATGTTTTAAGGCCCTCATTAATTTTAATTCTACGCACCAAGCCCTCACTGCAACCTACTTTTTCTGCCAATTTCCGATTCGACAGCCTTGGATCCTTCTTCAAGAGAGCAATGACTTTCTTCGCCTTCTGCGGGCAAGCGAAACCTTTTTTCCTTCCAGAACCAACTTTCCTGGTTATTTTCAAGTCTTTTTCGAATCTCTTAATAACACTCGATACAGTTTCCCGTGAAACTTTTGCCTTGTTGGCAATTGTTTTCTGACTCCACCGCGGATTTTCTTTTAATAATCGAATAATTAATTCGCGTCTTTCCACTTGCGACGACATAACTCAACTAAAATTCCAAGTAGCAAAAAAATTCAAACGGTATTTGATCAGAAATTCTTCAACGCAAAGCCTACTAAGTGATTTTTAGTTTTTTTAAGCATTTTTTGTGTTATTGCGATTTAAAGTTGTTAGATTTTTTCCTACTCAGTCCTTAATTATTTAGGTAGTTTTTTGGCTCATCTTACTTCTATGGGGACTTCGTTTGTTCTTATACCATTTATGGTTATTATTGAGTCTATTATTTTAATTATTCGTCCTATTACTTTATCGATTCGTCTTACTGCTAATATGATTGATGGTCACTTACTTCTATCTCTTTTAGGTTCATCAGGGGTTGGCATGAATAGTTTTGTATTATTGGTTGTATTAGTTGTAGTTCAGTTTATATTGTTTGTTTTGGCAATTTTTGTATCTTTGATTCAGGCTTATGTATTTTCTATTCTTTCGGCTTTGTATAGAAGGGAAGTTTAATTTGGTTTTGTGTTTTTTATATTAATTTTTTTTATGACTAAATATCATCAAAATCATCCGTTTCATTTAGTTACTCCTAGTCCGTGGCCTATTGTAATTTCATTTAGGATTTTTAATAATTTAATTTTTATTATTAGGTGATTTCATAATCTTAATAATTTTATGTTAATTTTGTCCATTCCCGGGACTTTGATTTGTATGTATTTATGGTGGCGGGATATTTTACGAGAGGTTACCTATTAAGGATGTCACTCTATTAATGTTGTTAGGGGAATGAAAATTGGAATGATTTTATTTATTGTATCAAAGATTTTATTTTTTTTTTCTTTTTTTTGGGCTTATTTTCATTCAGCTCTTGCCCCTAGTGTTGAGATTGGGCAGCTGTGGCCCCCCAAGGGGATTTATCCTTTTAATCCTTTTGACATTCCTTTAATAAATACTATTATTTTAGTTTCTTCTGGGCTATCACATGATCTCATTATTCATTGATTAGTAATGATATGGTGGAGAGGAAAAAGAGGTTAATAATGACTATTTTTTTAGGAGTTTATTTTTCTTGTCTTCAACTATTTGAGTATGTTAACGCTTCATTTACTATGGCCGATTCTATTTATGGTTCTACTTTTTTTATTTCTACGGGGTTTCATGGGATCCATGTGATTGTTGGGACAACGTTTTTGGTTATTTGTTTAATTCGTTTATTAAATATGCATTTTTCTTCTTATCATCATTTTGGATTTGAGGCAGCTTCTTGATATTGACATTTTGTGGATTGTTGTATGATTGTTTTTATTTATTTCTGTTTATTGATGAAGATTTTAGGGGTAAGGTAAGCTTATTTAATTATTATTTATATAGTATAATAATATATATTACATTTAATTTTCAATTAAAAGATTTAATTTTAAGAAAAATTTAATATAAGTGATTATTCAGTTAGTGTGTGTGTTTTTGGTTGTTATTTTAATTTCTTTTTTTTATTTGTAGTTAATTTAATTTTATCAAAAAAAGTGGCCTTAAGTCAGGAGAAAATATCTCCCTTTGAGTGTGGGTTTAATCCTATTTCTTGTGCTCGTATGCCCTTTAGAATTCAATTTTTTACTATTAGGTTGACTTTTTTAATTTTTGATATGAAATTGCTCTTTTATTACCTTTGGTTTATTTATTAGTGAATTTTAATCCATACGTTATTATGTTCTTTTGTTTTTTTGTTTATTTTGATTATTGGGTTGTACTTGGAGTATAATGAGTATTCTATGGATTGAAAACTTTAGGAGGCGGGGATATTTTAATTTGGATTAATTATAATATATTATTTTTTTTATTTGATTTTTTTTATATAAGTAGTGAAGATAGGAGAATATTGATGTAGGACACACAGATTTGTAATTGGTTGTTAAAATTGTGAGTTGTGTTTTGTGTGTGTGGGTATTAGTTTAAATTTTATAAGAACATTTTAATTGCATTAAAAAAATATATTTCGATAATATATATCTAAGCGGGAAGCTTTATTGTAGTATTCTTAAAGTAATTTTTACACTTTAATTTCATGGCAATTAAACATGGATTTATTTGTTATTAAATCTGAGAATTGGGCTTTGATGGTTTTAAGATAGGGGCAAAAGCCTTATGTGTATGTATGGAGGGGGGGAGGGAATTTAGCTAAAACCAAAAGAGAGGTGTATTATTGTTAATAATATCATTGAATTGATTTACATATTTCTAGTTGAAGTAAGTAAAGATGGACTTCTAATTCATTATTTATGAAATTTTTCATATTACTTTTTAAATATAGTTTATAAAAACATTATATTTTCATTATAAAAATAATAAAAGGGTTTTTATTTATTTAAAAATTTTGGGCAATTTTCTTAATATCTTCAATATTATGCTTTATGTAAGCTATTTAAATTCATTAATATCATATGTATAAATAAGTTCTTATGTAAATGAAGATGAGTATGAATGTGTATAACTTGTGGGAGGTATTTATAAATTTTTTTTTATAAATTTTATGTTACTAAGTTTTTACTTAGGAATTCTATTCAGGTTTTATCTAAGTCTCGTACATTGGTTCTTAGCAAAATAACAGGGAGGTAGATTCAGGTGTATAGGTTGGATAGAAATCACATGGAATTAAAAAAGTTTAGGTAGTAAAGTAAATTGTTGTGGTAGTATTTATTTAATTTAATGAATTTAGATATTATTGTTAGTGTTAATATACTGATAATAATTCTCAGCGTGGAGTACATTAAGGTTCTAAGTTTTGTATATGAAGTTAGATAAACTAGGTAGTAATCAAAGAAGAAGATTCAATTTATTAATGATCCGATACTTACTCTAAATAATATTATGATGATTATAGAAAGGTTAATTGTATTATTTTCTTTGATATATATATATATCTGTAAAATTTTATTGCTTTGTTAAAGAATAGATAATATGTGAAACGAATAGAATACATAATAGTTAGCATTAAGGAAATGATAATTAAGACTAGTATTAGTATATTGATGTTTCTATTTGTGTACACAGTTTCTATAATTAAGTCTTTTCTGTAAAATCCTGAAAAAAATGGGGTTCCCCAGGGCTAGGTTGGAGATTAGTAATCTTATTATTGTGAATGGTATGGTTTCATTTAAGTTTCCCAGTAATCGAATATCTTGGTTATTTTTTAAGGAATGGATGATAGATCCTGCTGCCATGAATAATATGGATTTGAAAATGGCATGAGTTAGGAGATGATAGAATGTTAATATACTTTGCCCTAATCTTAGAATTATTATTATTAATCCTAGTTGCCTTAGGGTTGATAGAGCAATGATTTTTTTAAAATCATTTTCAAAATTTGCCATTAAACCTGCTATAAATATTGTAATTACTGAAATAAAACATAAAGATGTGTTAATATTTGTAGTTATAAGGAACTTTTGGAATCGAATTATTATGTACACTCCTGCAGTTACTAGTGTGGAGGAGTGTACTAGAGTGGATACCGGAGTGGGGACTGCTATAGCTATTGGTAGTCATACTGAGAATTTGGGCTCTTTTGGTGATGGCGGCTAGAGTTATTAATATTATGGTTAGTGTTCTTTCTTTAAATATGGTTAATTCTCATCTTCCTTCTGTTATTATTAATCTTATGATTATTAGGATTGTAACAACCTAACTTTCTATGCGTG